CTTTTTTAATTCTCTAATTTGGAAGGGGATTAGGAGTGTGATTTGTATTGTACAGCTTATACTTAAAAGTATGCACATCTTAGCTTACGTTCTTCTCTCACAAACTGTTAAAATTAATGCTTATTTGCTTTTAAAATCAAAGTGAAACATGGATAGAGTCACACAGTGAAACAGGATTAAAGGTGTCACAGGGGTCAGCAGCAATCTTCTGTGCTCCCCGCTGCCCCTAAAACCTTTAAAGTCTTTAGATTTTTTAAGTAACGTGCTAATTCTTCTATTTCCTAATTTATTAATTCTGGACATTGTCCCTGCTGTAATAGATAAGGACGTAGCTTTCTGGCACCTCCTCCCACTTCTCCAGTCTCATTCATCTCATCTCATTCAGATCTCAGTTTTTGGTGGTTGTACTGGTCACTGTTTACATTATGACTTAGAAGGTCTTATCTGGTTCACTTTTTATTGTTGTTGTTATTGAGACGGAGTCTCCCTCTTGTCACCCAGGCTGGAGTGCAGTGGCGAGATCTCAGCTCACTGAAACCTCTGCCTCCCAGGTTCAAGTGATTCTCCTACCTTACCCTCCCAAAGAGCTGGGATTACAGGCATGTCCCACCATGCCCGGCTAGTTTTGTATTTTTAGTAGAGATGGAGCTTCACCATGTTGGCCAGGCTGGTCTTGAACTCCTGATTTCAGGTGATCTGCCCGCCTCAGCCTCCCAAAGTGCTGGGATTACAACTGTGAGCCACCGTGCCCAGCTGGTTTACTCTTAAGTCAGGTAGTGCAGTGCGATTATTTTCTTTCTTGTACGATATTTTGTTTTTCTTAGATTTTAATAATAATCTCAGTTTTTGTTGGCCTAGTTTTCTGTGTAGGAATCTCTGATTTTTTCCAAATGGTCCATTACAAATGTCAGGCATGTATTTATTTTCCAATAATTCAAATGTTTTCAATAATCTGTCACTTTTGTTTTTAAAAATTGACTCTCCCCTCCTGGTCTGATCTGGTTTGGTTGCTTGTCTTGGGACTTCCCTTCACTGCTTTCCCTGTTTCGAGTTCCCTTCTCTTCCTCTCTCTGGCTTTCCTCCCTCATTTTGCTGGAGTTTATCCTCCAGTAGCTTCCTGGTGCCTCCTTGTGCTGAGCCTTTCTGTAGCTTGTGGTAGGCAATCAGTTCTTGTCCTGGGTGTACCCTTGCAGGCCTCTGTTGTCAGTGTTGAGTCAGATACCTTCTTTGCATCCACTGTTTGTCTTCCAGTGTCTTGTGGAAATGTCTTGTCTATTGACGTCTCTGCTGTCATTTCCTTTGACTGTTTTTACTCTCACTTTAATGGTGTTTCAGGATGGAGAGGAAGTGGTGGTGATGATGGTAATAATATTACTAATAGTGACTAGCAAATATTGAATCTTACTATGGGACAGGTACTGTTATAAGGGTTTTGTTTGAGTTAACTCATTTAATCCTCAAAATAACTATATGAAGTAGGTACTATTATTAGTGCCAGAGGTGTTAAGTAACTTGCCCCAAGGTCACACAGCAAATAATTGCCTGGGCTAGAATTCAGACCCAGGCAGCCTGGGACCAGAGTCTGTGCTCTTGGCCACCATGCTGTGTGGCCTTTCTGAAGGTATAAGGTATAGTTGGAGTCCCTCAACACATTTTTTTGGGGGGTAATGAATCCATTTTAGTATGGACAATTACAAATAATCTTTCCAACAAGATCACATCTTTTGCGGGAACATGAATGGAGCTGGAGGCCATTATCCTTAGCAAACTAATCCAGGAACAGGAAGCCAAATACTGTGTGTTCTCACAAGTGGAAGCTAAATGATGAGAACTCATGAACACACAGAGGTGAACAATAGACTCTGGGGTCTACTGGAGGATGGAGGGTGGGAGGAGGGAGAGGATCAGGAAAAATAACTGATGGGTAGGGTACTAGGGCTTAGTAGCTGGGTAATGAAATATCTACAACAAACCCCCGTGACATGAATTTACCTATATGACAAACCTGCACGTGTACCCCTGAACCTAAAAGTTAAAAAAAAAAAAACAACTTTTCATTTATTTTGTAAGTAACATGTATATTAAATATAATTAATACATTTTTGTGCATGTGTCTCATTTTCTTAGGAAAAAATCTTTGTAAGTGAAATTGCCAGGTGAAGATTGTTCATTCATTTTAAGGCTTTTGAAATGACTCAGTTGACCACCAGATTGTACCATTCCCAACAGATTTTTAACGTATATTTTAAAGTTGTTGCTACATTTAACATATTCCAACTTTTAGTTTTTTCTTTCTCTAAACCTCTTAAATGAACATTCGTTTGTTCCCTTACTCATAGCTCCTAATGTTTTCCCAGAATTATTATTGCAATGGTGAAGGTGGGGGCGAGAACGAAGAAGGCAAGGTTATGCATGTTCATGAGAATCCTCACCAGGTGTCTTTGTTCTGTCTCTCCATCTCTGTTTCTGCTGTCGGCCCCCTCCCTAGACACTTACCCCTTCTCTCCTGGGATCTTGGGGTTTGCTGCAGTGCACTCCATCCTGGACATTCTTGCCAGACTGATTCCCTAAATCATTACTCCTGATAATCCCCTCCTCTGAATCCCTGGATGGCTCCCTGCTCTCTGCAGAATAAAGGCTAAGCCATATGCTTAGGCTTAGGTTTGAGATTTGTATCAACCTGCTTTAAACCCTTCGCTTCCTCTTCTTCCATACACAGCTCCTAAACTTACTATGTTGGTCAAGGCTCTTGGTTGCAAGTGACTGAAACTCAAACTGGCTCAGAAACTTATTGTACAGTCCACAGACAGAGTGAGTTTGCAGGTGTGGCTGGCTCTAGGGGCCAAATTACTATTTTCAGAACTCTTTCCATCTCTTGGCCTTGCTCTCTGACTTGGCTCACTCTCAGGCAAGCCCCTCCTTAGTGACCCCTGGGACTCCAGGCCCACATCCCCCCCAGCTCCAGGTCAAGAGGAACAGAGGAGCTTTGTTTCTCCACATTCCGCCGGAGTCTCAGGACTGAATCTCATCAGAATGACTTGGGTCATGTGTTTGGTCTTGAACCATTACTATGAAGAGAGGATGCCCGGGCAGGCGAAGACAGCACAGGGATTCTTTTCCCTTGACGTCTTCTTTCTTGTCACCTGGCACTTGCTCCTGCTGGAGTTCAGCCAGGGTGCAGTTTTCCTTCCTCTCTGCTTCTTGAAATCCTACCCACCCTCCATGGCCAACTTGTGGTGAGTCCTCCGCTCACCCTCTCGGCCTGAAATGCCCTTTCTCCCCTCTCTTCTCGTGGGGTTCACAGGAGAAGAATTGCCTTGTTTCTTGTATATACAATCTGTCCATTGTGTCAAGGAGTGTGGACAGTAGAAAGAGCCACTGAGGCATTTGGGGGAAGGAGCGTTCAGAATGAGGCTGTAGGAAGTTCACTGTTGCTTCGCTGCTGAGAGGAGTGTTGAGGTGAGCTGGCCTCTGGAGGGAGTGTGTGGACTCGAGTCACTCACACTTCCTGGGTGCAAACCCCAGCTCCACGGCTCATGTGTGTATGGTCCTGAGCAATCTCTGGACCCTCTGAAAGCCTTGGTTTCCTCGTGTAAAGCAGGCATGATTCCAGTCCCTGCCTAAGGGGCAGCTTGTGAAGATGAAGCATATCTGCACAGGGCCCAAAATACAGGGTGGTGCCACTGGGCTTCCTGCCTTATGTCACTGAGCCTTGTGTGTGGCCATTTCCACTCTTAGCACCTGTCTCAGGGAAGAGTATTAGAGGGCAGGAGGATGTCTGATGGAGACAAAAACAGCTTTTCTCTGCCCCAATGTGTTAAATATGTTAAAAAAAAAAAAAAAAAAAAGCCAGCCCACCCCAAAGCAAGTCATTAAGAAGCTTTGTACCTTAGTGGTTTAAGAACTGGAGCCTGCAGAAATGTCAGTTTTCTTCTCTCACTCCAGAAGGGGTCATGAATGAGAGAAGGTGGGAAGAAAGTGTCCATCTCAGCCTAGTTTGTTTCTAAGCACTGATGCAGGTCTCCAGTCCCTGCACCAGGGTGAATTTTATGATGTTTGACCCACAGCAGTGAGTGCTGCCGACTGGGAAGGTGGAGAGGGGTCCCCCACCACAGCCCCATTTTCGTACCTACATTTTAAGTTTTTACTAGGAACCTTGTGAAAAGCTGGGGTGGTTCCCTTCACAGCCACACTAGTGAAGCCTCTCTACAGTGCTTACCATACACCAGCTATTCTATATGTAGTAGCTCCTGTGATCTTCTCAGTGACATCAGGAAGTAGGCACTTTTATAGTTCCCTGCTTTAAGAATGAAGACTTTGAGGCCCAAAAGGGATAAATTACTTGTCCAGGTAATATCCCTAGTGATGAAGGGAGCGGGGATTTGAAGCCCTTGCAGACTCATTCAGATCTGTGCTCCTAACCTCGTGTTTCTCACTCTGAGCGGGGGAAAAGGAGCTTCCACTTCGATTTCAGTGCTGGTCGAGGCTGCATTCAGATGTGGCCGGGCAGTCTGCCCATGCCTGCTGCAGTTGTGTTTGGCTCTTGGTTTGATGCAGCTGCTGCTTGGGGAATTCAGCTGGCAGATTTCAGTGCTTCTTCTGAGTTGCCATTTGATTGTTTGGCTCTTGTGGATGCAGCCTGGGTGGCTGTGCCTGTGCCTTAGAGACAGCAGTGGCTTCCAAAGGGCAGAGAAGTAACTCTGGCCCGGCTGAATCACTTCACTTTTTATATTTTCTCTCCAGTGTGAGAGCCTTAGCAGTGTGGACACGTGACTGCTGCTGCTCAGCAAGGGCTGATTTCCAAGGTCACTGCCTCGAACGATCTGGCTTAGTGCCAGTCTTATCTTATTTCTGGAGCAAAGATAAAGGGAGTCCAGTGTTTCTACTTTTTTCAAAGGCTGGTAGTTGTAACAGATTAATCAAGATCAGAGGCAAAATATTAATGAATCCACTCAGATAACTTTTTAAAGTAATGTGGGTGATGGAGATGGGAGGAAAGAGGTTGAAGTGATCTTTTTGTTAATGTTACATAGCAAAACATAAATGATATCGTACATAGGTTTTACTGTGGACCATGTGGTTTTGTACTCTAAGCAACCTGTTGTGTTAGTAACTAAAATTCTTCTTGAATTATTTATACTCCTGCTGTAGCACAGCGTGACATTTCCTGTACTATTCAGTCTGTAGTTTCATAATCATCGGTGTCTATTTCTCAAGCACTTTCTCCTCCACAGAAGGGGTAGAAGAGCAGGTGTTTCCCCTCCTGACGCTTGAGAGTGGATGAGTCCAGCTGAACAGGTGAAGGCACCTGCTCTAGTCACTGGTGGCAGAGGCAGGAGTGAAACCCTGGCCACTGACTTCACAATTCATTTTTTTTTTTGTATGTGGAAGAAGTAGATTCATTTGCAGATTCCCGAGGCAGGCAGATGGTAGATGAGGAAACTGGCCTTCAGTGTCACAAAGCATTCAGGGTCATTGCCTCTCCAAGGTGGTGTTGCCACAGGGCTTCCTGCCTCATGTCACGGGGTTTAGTCCACTGAGCCTTGGGTGTGGCAATTTCCATTCTCAGCACTTGTATTAGTCTGTTCTTACGCTGCCGATAAAGACATACCTGAGACTGGGTAATTTATAAAGAAAAAGAGGCTTAGTGGACTCACAGTTCCACATAGCTGGGAAGGCCTCACAGTCACGGCGAAAGGTGAAAGGCATACCTTACATGGTGGCAGGCAAGACAGAATGAGAGCCAAGTGAAAGGGGAGACCCCTAATAAAATCATCAGATCTCGTGAGGCTTACTCACTACCACGAGAACAGTATGGGGGAAACAGCTCCGGTGATTCAGTGATCTCCCACCAACTCCCTCCCACAACCTGTGGGAATTATTGGAGCTACAATTCAAGATGAGATTTAGGTGGAGACACAGCCAAACCAAATCAGCACCTATCCCAGGCTAGAGTATTGGAGGGCAGGAGGATGTCTGATGGAGACAAAAACAACCTTTCTCTGCCCTAATATATTAAATACATTAAAACAAAAGCCAGCCCACCCCAAAGCAAGTCATTAGGAAGCCTTGTGCCTTAGTGGTGTAAGAGCCTGGGCCATAGAGCCAGAAAGCCTGGGTTCTAATCTTGACCCACCACTTCCTACTTTGGTGACCTTGAACAGGTACATGACCTTTCTGTGCTTCAGTTACCTCAGCTGGAAATGAGAAGAATAATAGTGCCTCCCTCCTAGGACGGTTGAGAATTACACGGATGACTGGGTGTAATTCATATCTGGCCTATAGTACGTGCCATGTAATATTAACTATTATTCCTCTTCCCGTTACTGTTCTTGTTAGAACAGTAGTAGTAGTAAACGTAGTAGCATCTTACCTGGTATTTGTAGCATTTACTTGTGGCACATTTGGCCTCGTCATTACGACAGTGTCATGCACCTCAATTGAAAAATCCCAGCACTGCACAGGGGTGTGAAAATCATTGGTCTCTCTGGTTGAGCTCTTTAACTGCACCGTCTGGTTTTTCCAGAGGCCTCAGTGTTGTCCCGGATGAAGAAGTCATTGAAATGTACGAGGGGTCCCATGTGCCTTTGGAGCAGATGAGCGACTTTTATGGAAAGGTAACGAGCAGCACTTTATTCATTTAAAGCTGCCTTTTTCCTTCTTGAAACATGGCCTTGTCGAACTTACCTACTGCTCATATGAAATTTGAGATTGTGTGTTGAGAGAGACCAGTGTTTGCAGGGGACACCCCCAGATTCTTTCATGATTCTCCTTTCTGAAGCCCTTCCTCCACACCTGGTGAAGGCTGTTTTTACCTCCCACATACCTACGGCGTTTGCCACCCATCTCCAGCAATGTCCCTAGTTTCTGGAGTGGACTCCAGAACAGATTGGGGCTGTCAGTGTGACAGCTACTGCTTCCCCTGGCGAATGGCTGTGAAATGCCAGAGCTGATGGCTACACAGCCACCCTGTTTACCTTTAGAGAAACCTCTGCTTTTCTAACTTTTGTGGTTCTCTTTCCACTCAGAATTTTTGCTTCTTGTCTTATTAGATGCACTCACTCACTTGCTTTGTCAAAATGAAATGGAAGATGCCCGGTCAGTTACTAAACTTAGTACAGTTGGCCCCTGACTTAACAATGATTCTACTTAGAACTTTTTGACTTTACAATGGTGCAAAGCCATTGTAATTTCAATGTAAATTACAGTATTCAATAAATTATATGAGACACTCAACACCGTATAATAAAGGCTAATATAAATGAGCCTTTATAGGCTAATATAAATGTTCTGAGAATGCTTAAGATAGGCTAGGCTGAGCCATGATGTTTGGTAGGTTAGATGTATCAGTGCATCTTTTACAGTGGGTTTATCAGAATGTAACCCCATCATAAGTTGAGGAGAATCTATAGTGTAAATTGCAAGCATTCAGAGAAAAGCTCTTTTTTAAGCTCAAATATGGGCTGTGAGGGTGTGCTCCAGTTCAGGAGAGTTACGTGCGTTTTTGTGTCGTTATGGGCAATAATTTGTTTGCTGACTTTCCTCTGTGCTTCCTGAAAGAGTGTGAACCGGAAGTGGGACTGGGCACAGGAAAAATCGGGAGGGGAAGGGTGATTAGACTCTCTGGGAGAAGTCAGGGCATTTCTGTCGATATCCTAGTTATACTTAGAGTGAGACATCAGCTCTGCTGTGAATGATAAGGAACAAGGGGAACAGTTTACCTGTTTTTTTGGTTTTGGTTTTGGTTTTGGTTTTTTTTAAGGCAAGGTTTTGCTCTGTTGCCCAGGCTGGAGTGCAATGGTGCCATCTCCGCACTGCAACCTCCACCTCTTGGGTTCAAGCGATTCTGCTGCCTCAGCCTCCTGAGTAACTGGGATTACAGGCACGCACCACCATGCCCGGCTAATTTTTGTATTTTTTAGTAGAGATGGGGTTTCACGATGTTGTCCAGGCTG